TTGTTAATGTGCTTTGTCTGAATTAAGACAATGACTCTAATAATCAGTTCTCATGCTTGAGGGCTTCAGCTGGTTACCTGCAGTCGTTTGGACTTTTTCCCCCTGTTGCACAGTTGGCAAGATGTATTCTGCTTGCTCGTTTTGTGTTTAGCATTCTTTGAAGCCTCAAGGATTAGCTGTGGCTGAAGACAGGGCATGGGGTGCTCTCCTGAATCCCATCCCCATATCTCAGCCATGGCACCAGCTTTCCTTTCCACTGGAGCTTAATGGTTCTCATCTGATTCTACCAAGATGACCCTGTATGTTTCCCATTAAACCTTCATTTTCAACCTTCTCTGAACACAGTTAAGAATTGACCTCACCTATACTCCTGACCCTTAATCCTGCACTGGTGTATCCAGAGAGTTACTCAAACATGCACTTCAATCCTTACCACCTGCCAACATACCCATGGAGTGACTGCTACAGACAACTTAACCCTCACCCTAATAACATGCCTACAGTGTGCTCCCCCAACACCTTGGCTCTCACCACTATGCCCGTAAACCCACAATGTAGTAGTGTTCAGATGGGGAGATTACTCAGGGATAGTGGGTGCGGTTGGTGTGCATGGGAGATTTCTCAGGGTACGGTGCGTGCTAATGTTGAAACTTGGGATGCTTATGTGTGGTCTGAGGGTGTTTTTTGGGGGTTGACAGGCACAGACCTATAGGAAAGGGGCTTGGAAGGGACGTTGGGGGAAGGTGGGAGAGCAGGGGGTGGGGGAAGTAGGAAGAAATTTCTTGTATTTGGCTATAAATGGTGGTTGGGAAGCGTGGTTTAGATTGGCTGGAAGGTTGGTTTGCTTGTAAAGGGGTTTAGGTAGGGAAGAGGTGGTTGGGGAGGGAGGAGGGGAGTTTGAGTTCTCAAGTTTCAGGATGCTCTTAGGGGAATCCTATCCAAAGGTTATTTGTGTGTTTATATTGCCAGCTGCTCTGGGCCTTTTGGATAGGACAGGATGCAGATCAAATAAATAAATACATGTGGATGCTGGCACTCAGTTCTTGGGTCCAGCAAGTGACTTCTTTCATATCTTCATCCTTCAGCTGGACAAGACTCTGCCATTGAAGTCCTTCTCTTGGGCAAGAGCCCTGCTTTGATCCATCCCCTGTTGCCCAGGGGCTGGGCACTCTGCTACACCTCTGACAGAGGAAGGGGAGCTGGCACGGATGTGTCTGGCTAAGGAGCAGAGATACTGGGGCAGCCGTAGATTTTCCACTGCAAATCCTTATCCAGTACAGAGTATAAATGGGGAGTGCTACATGGGAGTAAATTGGATCAGTATAAGCTTGGGAAAACTGCATTCACACTGAGGAAACTGGTACAGTTGAACTGTTCAGGGACTGTTAAGGTACTGGAGCATTTGTTTGCTGACAAAGGGTGGGTTGGGTGTGGTAGCTTAATCTTTTGTCCGAGGACATTTCTCCCGCACATCAGCAGTCTATTTGTCATCAGAATATCTCAAAGCACTTCATTCATCTAGATCAGTATTAGTGTCCCTATTTTACAGGCTTGGAAATGGACTTGGAAAAGGCTATGACCTGCTTGGGGGGGGCCGTTGGCGTATGATGATACAATAAGGATCACAAAGCAAGGAAAAACACATTCGCAATTGTATGTCCAGATTTTGCAGCCAGCTGATTGCTTCAGGAGTCCCCTCAATACGGAGTTGGCAGATGCACAGTGAGGTCCTGACGTTACGGGTCTGAAAGCTCTGCGACAATCTGTTGACGTTCATTTGTCTTTGCCGTCATTAGCCATGGGGTCCAAAGGACAGTTCTGCGTCATCAAGGTGTAGACTATTTAGTGTTATCCAGGGTGCATCATAAAGAAGCAGTCTACATTATACCCCACCTGCCTGAGGTCACCAAGTTTATCGGTGTCAAGAGGAGGAACCCTGGCTCCCAGGGCTCTGCTCTGACCTTTTTGGCTGTACTATTACCATATACCTTCTCAAATAAAAAGCCATATTTATATGACCAAAGATCCCGTCTCTGCTGAAGGATTGTCTCCATCCAACAATATTTCTTACTGTGATCAGGCAGCTCTTGAGTATAGGCAATAGGGAACCCACCACTGAGCTGGTTTGAACTATGTCTTACCTGAAAGGGACAGGTTGTGGACAGGTGCCACCCTGTCTTCACCCCATGACTTCTGTTTGTTTCCGTGCTATGGTGGGGCAGAGAACACAGCCCTTCCCTGACAATCGGGTTAGGCTCTACTGACTCATCATGAGCCAAACAGGCCTAGGAGGCTGTAAAAGCAACAGCCACCCAGCCCTAGCACTGTACGCAACATGCTGTTTATGGCACAGGGAAGATTAGGGCTGACAACAGCAGTGTTTAGCTGAGTCTCCTCTCCCTGGGTTTTGGTATCTCGGAGATCAGCAGCCTCCGCCTGATTGTCAGCAAACAAAAAAAACAGTCTTATGTTTTCATTTGCTCTCTCTGCCAAACCTGTGTGCTGCACCTCTAGCCTGGGCGCCATATATGACATGCCTGCACTGCCCAAACCTCATGTAATTTGTCAACCCTTTGGGGAGGAAATCTTTCGATATGTGCACTGACTATGTTGAGTGTCTGAATGCATAATAACGAAGACCTGTGAGCTTGTTTCTCACCAAATGTGTTGGTGTGATGTGTCACTGTACCTAGCTTCTTGTTCATGAAAGACCTACCATAACACACCAGACTCAGGGCTAGATTCCCAGGAAAGCTCTGCAGATTTGGTCACAGCACTTTGGAAAATTCAGTCTCAGATGAACACTTGGAAATTGTGTAAGTCCAAATTTTACCTGGCAAAAAACCCATCCCTAGGGGGTATTAGCTGGAGAGGGAGGAGGCCAACAACATTCCAGCGTTTTAGCCCCAATAGCTGAATAGTTGGCCTTGCATTCAGGAAGTGGGAGACCCAGGTTTTAGCACTCCCTCCTGGGGAGATTATACATAGAATCGCACTGTATATCTTTGTGACTGCACACTGGAAGGGGTGAGACTAACCCAGTGAAGACCGCACAACACAGCCATCTGGGTTAGTGCCTTTATTCTGAGCAGGTACCAAAACTGAAAGGAAACCTGGTGCCTGTGGAGGCTTGCAAGGTTGCAAGATCTAACAAAACAATACCCTATACAATGGTTATTGAACCTCGCATCACAAGAACATAGGACTGGAAGGGACTTCACGGGGTCATCTAGAGCAGGGCTGTCCGCCTGGTGGCCTCGTGTGTTCCACATAACCCACAAGAGATTAATTTGAAGTCCCTGGTCTCCCTCTCCCTCTCCCTCTCCTGGCTTCTACTTTCTGCCCCCATACTGTCAGGGGAGCCTGTAGTTGGGGCGCTGAGGGTGAAGCCAGGGCATCCATGAATGCGGTTC